GGCGGCTCTCCCAAATGTCGCTCGCATAGGTGGCCTTTTGGAAAAAATAGATGGGTTTCCCTGGTAAATGAAGCATAAACCCCCTCCAAACCATGCATCGCCCTCTATTTTTGAAGCAAACCAAGCAAAAAGGACACCTATGGTCGCTGGCTCTGTTGTGAAAGCATCCTTGCCACCTTGCCTGCAGCATCGCAGCGATGCGGGCAGACACGTGGGGGCTTCCACCTCGGTGCCCAGAAGCTCTTGGCACGCGACTGCCGATGCATCTGAGTCATAAACTCCAAACCCCGGTATCAAAATGGTCGACCCAGAACCATGTAAGGAATCATGAAGGCGGATATCCCCCTGGCTATTTCTGGCTGGGATTGTCCCTTTCCCTTCACTTGCCCGGGTTTTGAGTGTGACTCATGCGCGGTTCAAGACACAACCGCAGAAATTGACCGCTGGAGCTGGAGAGGGTGAAGAAAATAATCCACCAAACCCAGGCAACAGGAACAGGTTGGGAACTCTTGAGTGAGACTGGACAAACTCCTGGCTGCTTCATTGGAACCTTCTGTTTGCCGCATGGTTTTGTCAACGCAATGTGTGTCTCTGTCGGAGTGCCGGGGTTCCTTCGCCTTCTTCGAGTTCCGGCTTCCGTCACGCGCGTGTCAAGGGGCTTATATACCTTGTGGTTTGCCGTTGTTTACCTTGACTTGCTGGCTCTCAGGGGAATGAGGGAATGGCCCTTATAAACCATCCCCTACGGCTTTCTTTCAGGGAATCCATCCCTTGGTTCGTTCCCAACAGAACGCGACGTCCAGGACCTTGGATCTGCTCCTGGAGCCCCATCTCGCGCTTCAGGGCTTGGGGGTCCTTCCAAACCTGCGGGTTCCTGATGCTTTCCGAGCGTTCCAAGCCCTTGGATGACCGGCTTCGCCAATATGCTCCGTGAACAAGTCCTTTTGTGGGTTCCGTACGCATCACTTGAGTGGAGTCTTGTTAGCACTAAATACCGCTTTTGCCAAAGACTGCAAATACTGCATTAAGTCCCTGGTGCAACCAGGTTTACAAGCGCTATGCTGTTTCCAGGGTAACCCAAAGCCTTGGGAGGTTCAAACGAAACCGAGGCGTGGCTCCACCATGTTTCGACCAAAGCTGAGGCTGAGAACCCCCGCTGGGCAGGCTCTCTCCGGGTTCCACGTATGCGGAGGCAGGAGAAAGTCTACTAAGTTCCGCCTGCAAAGATAGGCTTTGGAACCTGACTCTGGTCTTTTGGCTTGGAGCATTTGCTGCTACTTAAAGGGGCGAACGGGTACTTAAGTGCTTAGTAAGCCTGGCTATAATCCACTGAAAGGAGACTTATAACTATGGTACGTGGGCTACAACCATGTTGTTACCCACTTACCATGTACCCCTTCACCCCTGTAAGTAGGGGCCCTGCGGGTTAGTTGGGCCTTTGGTTTCCGCTTCGAAGCATATTGCCTGAAGAGACACCCAAAACCAAATGCCTTTCGGGAGCTGGCCCTCCGAAGGGATGTCCAGCAACAACTCGCCTGAGTTGGCCGCTTCTCAGCAGGGAATGAGGGAAAAAACCCTATCATCTTATAAACCCCTTTGGTTTCGGAAGCAATCCCTAGGCTCATTCCCAACACCCACACTCCGTCATTCCCTGAGAGAAAAGAAGACAAAACACGAGGCGGGTGTGTTGATTGAGGCGCGGTACCCCTTTCAGGGTGATTCAAAGGGCAACCAAAAGGACATTGCGACCAGGCTCGACGTTTGCGACTGAGGCCGTAGGAGTGAAAGCAGATGGAAATTTGTGAAACTCGTTGGACCTCCGCATTTCCGTGGTGTCAAAAGCATACCAAAAGGAATCGGTCCCAGCTTCTGACACACTTCCTTTTCGTACGAAAGTGGGAGGTCTTCTGCGGGCAGCTTCTCTGCATGGGGGGTGTGCTAGAAACTGACGAAGAAGCTTCAAAAAAGCGAAGGCCAGGTTGTTTCAAGAAGCTGAAACCGGTGCCAGCTGTCCCCAAACTGACCTAAGATGGACTGGCCGGGTTTGCCCCCCCCCTCTCTGCCTTGGTCATGCCGGGCTTGTGGTACGCAGCACGTGCCAGCCTTGCAAGCTCCAACCAGAAGAGAACCCGCCGCTTTGGTCTCGGACCCCCCCCCCCCCGGCCCCTCCCCGCGTTTGTTCTACACGAGGATTGCAGAAAAACGACCCGTTATGAGCGCACATTTGGGTCCCGGGCAAAAGGAGACCAAAGGTCTCAACCAAACCAATCTTCTTGCTGGTTCGAGAGCCAGGGAATGAGAATTGGAAAGCGGTGAAGGGGAGGCATCACATGGGATGGTAAGACCAGGAATTCCCATCAAACAGAAGAAAGCATAGCGCCCACCTCGTGACAGGGCAATGAACATGTTTGAGCCCTGGGTCGCGCTGACCCAAGTCAGCGTCCCTCCACGCTTTCTTAGCCTTTGATTCACCTCCAGGGTGACTCTGACGAACTATCTTTCACAGGTTCATATAAAAAGGGCTTTTTCCACTCACTCACTGAGCGAGCGGTTCAGAACTTGGACGCGGGCAAGCTCTCTCCTGTCAAATGTGGTTGATCCCTATGCCGCCCAGACAGCGGGCCTGAAAGTACCAAAAACAATGTTGACATGTGGAGTCAAATGCACATAGTCACATATGTACTCGTCAGCATGCATATACACAAGCGTTTTATTGATCATGTAGCCCTGGGTTGATACGTGTGCATTATTGCAAGATGCATATGCAAACAAATTCACACATGTCTGACTATTTCTTAAAGAAAACACACCCAGTGCACAAACATCTGCTATCACCCTGTTTGTTGCCCCCCTTCCCCACCCAGCTTCATTCTGGTGCTTCCAAAACAAGGCGACCTTGTGAATGGTGATGAAGGGAAACCAAGACGAAAATCGGCTTCACACCTGGGTATATTTAAATAGAATCCTCAAATATCAGCCATAAATCTACCACTGGGCGCAAACCCTCCGCAAACCTTAGCTCTGGTGGGCCCCGGGCATGCAATTCCTCACATGCTCTTGGGTCTGCTCTGGGCTCATCTGGGTCAGATGCCTCAAGCATCGCTTCTCAGCGAATCGGCGAAGCGAAAGGTGGCAGACATTGGATTCTGAATCGGTAAGACAATGGTGAGAAACAAAGAGAGTGCATACAGCACTCGTAGCAGCAATTCATGGTAGTTCTCTGGACTGCCCTCAGATCCCCTGCTAAAAGTGACTCACTTTTAGTGGGTAGAATGGAAACTACCACTAAACACTAAAAGGCTAAAAAGCTAAGGAACCGGATGGCTGGGAGCCACCAAGAAACCTCGGGGTGGAAAAAACCCTGCTTTACCCGACCAGCTGTCATTTGTTCAGTCGCGTTTCCACCCCCCCTCCCCCCGCCAGACAACACCAAAACGGATTCTGCAAAAGAGATCACTTGTTGGCTTGTTGGCTTGCTGGTTTGTCGGCTTCGTGGTCTCGTGGTTTGGTGGTCTGTCGCTGTATTGGTTCGGTGCTGATTTGTTGGCTGGCCGACCCCAAGAAGCAAACTGGAAATATTGCACGATTTCACATGTACTGTATCTGTTTGTGTTCGCGCAAGGAAAAAAATCAATCGCCTGTCCTAATGAGGTACGACTTGGCTGGTCCGCTGCTTGGGGTGAGGCGGCATCCCTTGGGCCCTTCAACAAGACAAGAGCTGCTCAAAACGAGCCACCAGAACCAGTTTAGAGCTCTCAGGCAAACACGACGCATTCACCGCCCCAGCCCCTCGTGTCCATTTCTGTTGACCCGGAGTTCCTTCCAAACACTGCCCGATTTCCCTGGGACCTGTAAACAAATACAGATTCACAAGCTATACAGTCAGCAAAGATCGACGACGTCTAAGCGTCCAGCTCGAACTCTGCGAGATGAACCTGACGGCATGCGTTGAGACCTAAGGCGTGTTTGAAAGGAACACAAATGAGTCAGAATCGGACCCATAAGAGCTACCACGTCCGCATCCTATTTTTGGGCTTACCCGAATCGGTGTTGAGCCAGCGGCTCAGATGGAACATCCATTTCGGCTTGGGCTTCCCATATTCGGAGGCGCGCCCGTCAAGTGATCCATGCATCTGACCAAGCTCAGCTCAACTCAGCCACTCGATGCGTCTCGGCTGAATGCAGACCGTTTGCCACCCCAGTCAGGTTCCATGGCGTCCTTTATGACCCTTCTAACCCGGCGGTTTCACCGCACCGCGAAGGGACCTACCGCAGGAGGGTTACCTTTCAGGGCCGGAGTGTGCGAACCCGGCGCCAGAATATTTGTCCGCAAAGACCCGCATGAACCAACCTGGAACCTGAATCATATGACCCCCGCCCCATGCCCAGGTTCCATGCTTGTTTCTCCAAGCAGGGGGCCTGCATCGGTCTGCCATTGCAGAAACATGACCCTGCAAGTTCTACATGACCAAAATTTGAAGTGAGGATCCCTTACGTGGGGACCGTAATGGGTGTGGCTCAAAATTCATTCACATATTGTTTGGTCTACTTGTCCATTTAGGCTTTCGCTTTGGGCCGATTCCTATTTTGCAACCAAACCCCCCGTCATGAGCTCGTTTTGCCATCTCAAAGCAGGCGCGATTCTCTGAGTTTGAGCCGAGCGTCTGGATGGCTCGGCTTGATGGTGTTGTCATAGCAAATGAGGCCTCGGACTGCTGGACTCGGACTGCTGGACCACTTTTTGGGACCAAGGGCGCCTCGTGGCGAGGGGTCCCCTAGATCATCTTGCGGGTGGTAATACCCCCCGGATGGACTCGGCTGAGTTGTTTGCACGACTAGACACTGCAGCCGATGCTCGTTGAAGAACTTTAGTGGCAAATTGCTCTAGAGCTAGTTGGCAACTCAAGTAACAAGAGAACTACGCTTCAGAAAGGTTAATAGCGTTCGCAGAAAAGTCTTGCTAACATAGAGATGCCTTCTCAGATAATATTCTTACGGGTTCAATGGGTGATCAACAGAACCTCAAGGGAAAATCGCTCGAAGGAGGGACCAAAACCCAGATAAGGTCTAGCTTGACGAGAATGCGGCCAGAATGAAGCGAGAAGGGAAGAAGTAGACGCTTGAAGGCAAACTGAGGGAGACTCCGCCTGCTTAGACTCTGTGTCACGGGCGAATCTCCGGTCATGTACTTCCCTCATGCGAGCCCTTTTGATGGCTAAGTCCCTGCAGTGACCGTCCTGATTTTCACCCGTCGTTCAAGCAGAGCTCGGCCCGAACGAAAGGTCCCCGGAACCAGGCTGCGCAAGAAGTACTGAACACGGGGGTTGTGGCGGGGCCATAAAACAAAGCGAACAAGTAAAGTAACTGTCCAACCCTTTGGAGCAAAAAAAACTGTGTGTTCTGCCAATGGTAATACAAAGGGTCATGTTGGTGTGTTACACACACGACTATCTGTATAATGGCGGTGACTAGGGTTTGCCTTTTTAGGCACCCTCCAAAAAAAAGATCGGTGTTCCTCTTGGGTTTCCCCGTTTTTCAATCCACCGCCCTCCATACAAAACATGTTCCTTTTGGGTTTCCCTCTAAAAACCACCGCCAACAGACGGAAAATCGCCCACACCTTGGGTCTCTCAAGCACCCCCCATGCCAACCAACCGCGTGCATCCCGGGGCCCGGCTGCCATAGTGGCGGCTGCTCTCCTTGATCTTCTTCTCGAAGTGCTTCCCAAACTCCACGGCCCCCGCGCCTCGAAGTGCCGGAATTCGAAGCGCTGGGAAGTCCCGACTCGGGTAGGGGCTTGAGAGCCATAGGCTTCCTTGTGCAGAAATCAAGAGAAAAACCCTGGGGGAAATTCTTCCCCAGGATTTCTGAAAAGGAAAACCTGGGGGAAATTCTTCTAGGGAGTTCCCAATGGGCTGAATTGATGCATGTGTCTTTCTGGAGTTAAAGGATCCTTGTGACCATCCGCTCAGGATTGATGTGTAGTCTCTTTCTGTCTGGAAAGGATAATTGTAACCATCTGCTCAGGTTTGATGCTGGCTTCTCTCTGGAAAGGTTCTGCTGTCTGGAAAGCTCCTTGTAAACATCTGCTCAAGCTTGATGCGTGTTTCTTTCCAGGATCCTTGTAACCATCTGCTCAGGTTTGATGCTGGTGTCTTTCTGGAAAGGATCCTTGCAACCATGCGCTCAAGTTTGATGTCTGGAAAGGATCCTTGTAACCATCCGCTCAGGTTTGAAGCGTGGTGTGTTGTTCCTGAAATGGATCCTTGCACATCCGTTCACGTTTGATGCCAGTTTCTTTCGGGAAAACATCCTTGTAACCATCCACGCAGGCTTAATGCGTGTTTCTTTCCGAGAAGGATCCTTGTAACCATCTTTGATGCGTGTTTCTTTCTGAAAAGGATCCTTGTAACCTTCTGCTCAGGTTTGATGCGTGTTTCTTTGTGAAAAGGATTCTTGCAAGCATCTGCTCACGTTTGATGCCGGTTTCTTTCTGGAAAACATCCTTGTAACCATCCGCTCAGGTTTGATGATGGTCTCTTTCTGTCTGAAAAGAGTCCTTGAAACCATCCGCTCACGTTTGATGCTTGGTTTGTTGTTCTTGAAAAGGATCCTTGCAAGCATCCTTTCACGGCTGATGCCAGTTTCTTTCTGGCAATCACCCTTGTAACCATCCGCTCAGGTTTGATGTGTGTTTCTTTCTGAAAAGGATCATTGCAAGCATCTGTTCACGTTTGATGCCAGTTTCTTTTGGGAAAACGTCCTTGTAACCATCCACGCAGGTTTGTGCTTCTTTTTGATAAGGATCCTTGTAACCATCGGCTCAGGGTTGATGCTAGTTTCTTCTTTCTGAGAAGGATCCTTGCAACCATCCGCTCAGTTTTGATGCATGATTCCTTCTGAAAAGGATCCTTGTAACCTTCTGCTCAGGTTTGATGCGTGTTTCTTTGTGAAAAGGATTCTTGCAAGCATCCGCTCACGATTGATGCCAGTTTCTTTCTGGCAATCACCCTTGTAACCATCCGCTCAGGATTGATGTGTGTTTCTTTCTGAAAAGGATCATTGCAAGCATCTGTTCACGTTTGATGCCAGTTTCTTTTGGGAAAACGTCCTTGTAACCATCCACGCAGGTTTGTGCTTCTTTTTGATAAGGATCCTTGTAACCATCGGCTCAGGGTTGATGCTAGTTTCTTCTTTCTGAGAAGGATCCTTGCAACCATCCGCTCAGTTTTGATGCATGATTCCTTCTGAAAAGGATCCTTGTAACCTTCTACTCAGGTTTGATGCGTGTTTCTTTGTGAAAAGGATTCTTGCAAGCATCCGCTCACGATTGATGCCAGTTTCTTTCTGGCAATCACCCTTGTAACCATCCGCTCAGGTTTGATGTGTGTTTCTTTCTGAAAAGGATCATTGCAAGCATCTGTTCACGTTTGATGCCAGTTTCTTTTGGGAAAACGTCCTTGCAACCATCCACGCAGGTTTGTGCTTCTTTTTGATAAGGATCCTTGTAACCATCGGCTCAGGGTTGATGCTAGTTTCTTCTTTCTGAGAAGGACTTGCAACCATCCGCTCAGTTTTGATGCATGATTCCTTCTGAAAAGGATCCTTGTAACCTTCTGCTCAGGATTGATGCGTGTTTCTTTTTGAAAAGGATTCTTGCAAGCATCCGCTCACGTTTGATGCCAGTTTCTTTCTGCAAAACATCCTTGTAACCATCCGCTCAGGTTTGATGCGTGTTTCTTTCGGGAAAACATCCTTGTAATCATCCGCTCAGGTTTGATGCATGTTTCTTTCTGAGAAGGACCCTTGTAACCATCTGCTCAGGTTTGATGCGTGTCTCTTTCTGAGAAGGATCCTTGCAAGCATCCGGCCAGGTTTGATGCGTGTTCCTTCTGAAAAGGATTCTTGCAAGCATCCGCTCACGGTTGATGCCAGTTTCTTTCTGGAAACCATCCTTGTAACCATCCGCTCAGGTTTGATGCGTGTTTCTTTCGGGAAAACATCCTTGTAATCATCCGCTCAGGTTTGATGCATGTCTCTTTCTGAGAAGGATCCTTGTAACCATCTGCTCAGGTTTGATGCGTGTCTCTTTCTGAGAAGGATCCTTGCAAGCATCCGCTCAGGTTTGATGCGTGTTCCTTCTGAAAAGGATCCTTGCAAGCATCCTTTCACGTTTGATGCCAGTTTCTTTCTGGAAACCATCCTTGTAACCATCCGCTCAGGTTTGATGCGTGTTTCTTTCGGGAAAACATCCTTGTAATCATCCGCTCAGGTTTGATGCATGTTTCTTTGTGAGAAGGATCCTTGTAACCATCTGCTCAGGTTTGATGCGTGTCTCTTTCTGAGAAGGATCCTTGCAAGCATCCGCTCAGGTTTGATGCGTGTTCCTTCTGAAAAGGATCCTTGCAAGCATCCTTTCACGTTTGATGCCAGTTTCTTTCTGGAAAGCATCCTTGTAACCTTCCGCTCACGTTTCATGCATGTGTGTTTCTGGAAAGGGTCCTTACCATCAACGCCAAAGACCGACGGCTTCGCCCCCAATGGGGCCGACAAAAGCCGCACGAAGAGCTCTCAAGAAGCCAACGGCTATGGCAACGCATCGGGCAGTAAGAATAATTCCAAACGCCTAAGGAAATTCGGACACCCCCACCAAACGCCAAAGGAACCGGACGGGAACCGCCAAGAGCAGGGAAATTGAATGAAACTGCAGCTGGGTCCTCCAGTAGAGAGGCTTGAAAAAAAGGGTAGCAACTTTTTTCTGTAGGCTATGTTGGCAGAAAAACCCTCCCCCAAAAGAGGGTAAAACGGCACTACTGGAAAAACCTAGATTCTGAAAAGAATGGGGACGATGGAGTCGCAGAGGGCACAAGCCTCTCACTGCCGCATTCTTCGGGTTTCACAGCTGCTAGCTGCACATCGCTTCAATAATGCTATGAGGCGACCTGGCTAGTTTCAGGCATGTGCGAGAAGACATGCATGCAGCACAAAAAAAGAGGGCATTTGAGTGGGTGTTGCAAAGTCATGCCAAAAAGGCGTGGAATGCAAACGCATCTGCACAGACTTCTGTTTATCTCTTCACCAAGCCAGCCTGAAGCAGCAACCCGAGAAATCCCGTGCAGGGTTTAAAACCGAATTGTCCTTGCAGCCTGATCCAAAAACCAACATGCAGTTCAGTGTGTCTCACAATAAGGGACCTTCAAAATTGGTGGTTGTCCTTTGATCCCCCCCTTAAACCACCCAAAAAACGCGGGGCAACGTCGAGAAAAAAAAAAGAAAGAAAAAACAAGAGGTCAGCGATTAAGCCTCCGAGTGCCTCTTCATTGGCCAAATAGCATGCTGGTAGTCTAACATAGTCGCTACCTCCAAACCACCTCCGCCCTGCAAACTATCATGGAACCCCATCAAAAACGGGGCCGGTGTGGCCCAATGACAAGAATGCACTAGACCCCATTTATCAGGTGGCAGGATAGAGCCAAGGCCTTGCTCAGTTCATGAAGGCACAGTCAAAGTCATCTGACATATGAGTCATAATCGAAGCCGATCGGTAATTTTTTCTGGTCGTCCTCCCAGAACCGGGCAAAGAATTTCTTGGAGAGGCGGCGAAGGCACCCATGGTTGGGATTGTCCCAACCTTCTGCCTGGGCTTAGATTGTGGCTCATATCATACTTGCTTGTGAATGGCCCGAGGTATCGATTGCATTGCAGTTGCTATATGTGGATGCCTTGCGTTGAGTACCAACGTTGATATGTAGTAACTTCTCAACGATATCCCCCCAACAAGTATTGACGAAACCAAGGCTTCCCGCAAGGAAATATTGAAGAGCGACTAAATCTCCCGTCCTCTCCCACCCAAACCTTCCCACAACCCCGCAAACCCCAACCCCCCAAAGCCAAACCCCCCAAACCAAACCTCCCCTTCCCCACCCTCCCACCCCCCCCAAACCTCCGGCCAAACCAAACCAAACGCCCCTTGCAACGGAGGGGCAGCTGGGCCCGTGGAACTTGACGTTGAAGGCTTTACCCGCCTCCGAAAGTGACCCAACTGGTGGGCGAATTTGTTGACCCCAGATGAACTGGCCTCAAACTGACAAGGAAGGGGGCCCTCTCAACCAAACAAATTTATCGAGACTTATCAAGAATTATCAAGACTCATCAAGACTTCCCAGAACTCGACCTTCAAAGTCACCCCATTTTCTGACTTTCATAACCCTCGGAAACCGTCAAGATGTTGACCCCAGTACGAAGCAACCCCAGTTTATGAATAGGGGGGTACTTCTCCCTGGGTGAAATGTGGTTGGAATCAGACCACTTTTGGAGGGGTTTTCCCCCACTATGAATGAATACACTGGGGTTGATTCATCTGGGGTCAACATTAAATGGACACTAGACCAAAAACTGACCTAAGGGGATGGCCAGGAACCGCCAAGTTTTGACCCCAAGGCAGACTTGAACCCAGAAATTCCCCGACCTGGGCTATCCGCTTTCAGATCTGCGAAAAGGACGAACAAGGCTTAATGCGGCCTTTTCTGTTGCCCCTCTCACACAGTTAAATCAGGTGAGACCAAGGGGTCAAACCGTTGCCGAGGCAATAGCAGCTACATGAAACAGGGCTCCCTATATTTCCCCTTCAAACACCACCCCACAAAGGGACCCTCACCTTTCATGGTTGCCAAAAAGGTGATGTTCAAAACCCCCCAAAAAGGACATATAGGGTCCCCTGTGAAATGTAGGCAACCATCGTCCTTTTTGGTTTTTGGAGGGTCGATCCTCTGGTTCAGGTAGCCCTTACTTGGAGGTTTGGAGCCTTTTGGATTTGGAGCCACGGGTCCCTGGTTCTTGTGGGTAAACAGGAAACCCCTCATGAACCACCAAACCACTTGGCTCCCAACCAAGCACAGGGAAGCTGATTGAACCCAGGGGTTGGTTTTTTGGGGGCAACTCGATTTGTCCATGTCCTCTCGGGGAACAAAGAATATTCTCAACCAAACACACGTGTCGCAAGCGCAAGATAGCCGAAAGGTCCAATGAGAGATCAAGTGTAACCTGTCGGTCAAAGCTGGTATTTTGGATGGAGTGAAGCACGTGACATGGTTGAAGACACCTTGGTCACTTTAGTCGGGACGCGGAAACCCCCGGCCCGGCGCTGGCTTGCCTCCCAGCCATCCAATGCCACTTACATATCGACCCACAAGGGGATGTTCAAAACATCGATCGAAACAGCAAACAAAAGGAAATACACTGAAATCGAATCAACAGCAAATATACACGGAAACCGGACCGCAACGGATCCAATCTGATAATATGGGGAGCATTCCTTGTTCTCTCCCCGCCTTCACGGACCTCTGACGTCCCCGGTGCTGCACAGCATCGAGAGGTGCCCACAGGCAAATGGCGTGCATCTCATAGTCCTGAGTAACGACAGGATCATGCAGCTTGTGTAGACCCGGCAATCAACAAATGTCCAGTAGTGAAATCGAACCAATGTTAAAACCAACTAGGAAAATTAAAAATAAAACACAATCTTGAGCAAATGGTTTTGTATTCCTGCAATGCCGAGGCCAAGATTCATCTTGTGGCTGAGTAAACTGATATTGTAAGCATTTCTTCGCGTCGCAAGAAAAGGCTCGGCCATTCGGCAAGATGTTGAAAAAAGCCGCGATCCCCAATTCCCCCCCTTCTGTAGAGATTTAATCCTATGCTCGAACTCGATGTAGACATCTCAGCTGGGTTTGTCGAGGAAAGATACCGCCCGCGCAGAAAGTTTGAGCAAAATTACTTGGGCGCTCGGATGGTGCCACTGCCCGAAAGGCTGGGGAGCGGGTGGTGCAGCCATGCACAACAGGGTTCCAAGGATACATCCCACCGCCTGAGTAATCAAAACCTGGTAGTAAAATGGTCTGCCCAGAACCATGTGAAGAATTCAAAAGGTGACTGCACCTCATTTATGGGTGGTATACGCAATCTCCTACTAGCCTTCATCTACCCGGGATTTGATTGTGGCTCACCGGAGTTGCAAGGGACCCTCTACATCAGCTGGTAAATGTCATGTTCCATACGGAAACCATACAGCTTTTGCCCATTGCGAAAGATGACGAACAGTGAAAAGCAATCTCCATGACGGCGCCTTTGAGATACCCTCCCCAGAAAGGGCCTGGAAGACCACTTTCCTTTTTAGGGCTCCATCTTAATTGATAAGTACCCCTCTTGCGGACCGAGAGGTTCTTCAAACGGAGCCTCACTGCCTTACCACATTGCGATGGCAGGAAGGCTATGACGTCCAAGGCACAAAGCTTTCCGGCTTCAGCTCCCTGCTTTCTGGACATGGAAAATGATCCTTTCTGTGAGGGCCATACCCATGACTACTTTATGACTTAGAAGAAAATATCTGCCCAGTTTGCCCTCACATGTTTCTGGATGCCATTGGCCAGCCAGGGTGCTGCATTCTCCATCTGCCTCAGCATCTTGTGGACTCGCTCGGGCTGCATTGCGCCTCAAGCTGTGCCCGCCTCCCCCCGCGCCGGGGCTGCTCAAAGGTCTGACTTTCGCCGCTTCCCGCGCAAGGCGCGGGAGACACACCATGCAGCAAAGCAAATCGTGGAATGCCTTTGATGGAAGCCGGGCCTAGTCAGGACTCTCCACCAGGGCGCAACCATGATTTTGCTGGGGTTTGCATTCGACGAGGGGCAAAGGATCTGAACTAGCCTTTTCTTTGAGGGGCCAAAACGGAGTCTCACAAGAGCCTAGTTAGTTACAAAGAAGTTGTAGGGGTACTTTGATACCAAATTAAGCCATGATCATACCAGACGAATGCGCATGTTCTTCAGCCTGTCGAACTGTCGCATGTTTGCTGTTGACAGGATCGGCCTTCCCCGCGCCAACATCAGAAAAACAACACATCGAAATAAGTCACTTAGAACCTCAGCGCAGCTCCAAGCTACCAAATATGTCCCTTTGGAAAGCAACATACTTGCAAATGGATAGAGCTAGGGGCCGCCCTCAGATCCCCGGCTGAAAGTTTAACTTTTGGTGGGTCCAATGGAAACTACTTGTACCACTAAACACCAAAAGGCTAAAAAGCTAAGGGGATGGCTGGGAGCCACGAAGTAGATCTGATGCTTTCTGGCAAGGCACACTCCGGGATGATCACATCTTGCCGATTCTGAACCGCCAAGCTCAGGATCTCCTTTTTCAAGTTCTCTACGTACTTGGTGCCCTGTCAGGCAAGTCGCTTCGCGCGTTTGGCATCAACCACGCAAAAGCGATGAACCTGTTGGGTGAAAGATTCGGAGATGTCCAACCACGAAACTAACGAAGAGCCACCACCTAAGGAACCGGATGGATTCGGAACCAAGAAGCTTGTCTGGGAGACCCAAAAAAATCCAAACGGGTCTGATTTCGTTTTTGGTGACCCTTTTGTTTATGGTTTTGAAGAAAACCCGAAAGGAAAACCGAAGCCATTTTGGGGGTCCAAATCCTTTTTTTTGAAAAAAAAAACAGTTCAACGGCCTTCAGCTTATCCCAGGCATCCGCGTGCAGCAACTTGTGCTTGAAGCCGTGCTGCGCGACCTCCGATTCGAAGGCTCAGGGCGCGAGCCGCCTTGAGTCCAATCTGAGGGTTTCATGTCCACGGATCTGCCGGTGTTGGCCATTCCCAAAACCCAAACAAATTGGATGCCGAAGAAAAGGACCTACATCACAGTGACCTTGTTTTACCCCCTCGGTGGGCTTGCCAATGGGCAGATCCATCCCTCTAAAGTCTCACACAAAAATCCTGTACAGGGGTCCTGTCAAACAACCACCACACACCTTGCAATCACTCCCTCGGTTGATCAACTCGGAAAAAATGCACGCGAACTGGGCAACCGACCTGGAAAGCAACGCGAAACAGCTTGCCCCTTTTTGATGGTTGGGAGGTTGGCGAAAATCCAACGACTCAGACTGGATGTCCCAGTACCACACATGTCGGGCAATTGTATGTCGGGCAATCGCTTCGTTCAGCTGCACCACGCAACTATCCGTGATGCACAGGGCTCACAGCGAGCTATTGTTCGGTTCCTAACTTCGGACCGAGTGAGCTGCGGTCAAAACATACGGTCAGCGTACAAAAAGGACATGGGAAGAGTGGTGAGTCTTGGTTTTGCGAGAAATTTAGTGAGCCCCCCATGTCCCTCCCAAATGGACCATAGACTACTGGGATGTTTGGTCAAGCTAGTATGTGGTTAGCCACCTGGGTCATAACCCACTAGCAACGGGGTGGGCCAGCCCTCAGTGGGTGATAAAGCAGCTTTCTGACTTGGCCAACCACAGTACTGGATATGTGGCCCGAACCTCAGACAGATGCGTGCGATATTTTTGTGTACCCCCTTCTGGGGGTTGGTTTGAAGGGACACCAGCACGCAAGATCCTCATTTTCGTGGGTCGCCCGATTTTGGATAGCCAGCCGCGCATGGCAAAGGGTGGCACCAGCCGCAAAGCGCGTGCCTTATTGAAGCCCGCGTGCCGATCACGCACATCGTTTCCGTCAACACCTCGGTGTGAATTGCGGCCAAAGGGATCGTGTAGGGTGGGTGTGGGCTGGGTGTGGGCTGGGTGTGGTGGGTGGGGGTGGGGGTGGGCTGGGTGGGTGTGGGTGGGTGTGGGTGGGTGTGGGTAGATGCGGGTGGGTCTGGGTTTGCTTGTGCTGGTCGTCTAAGGGTGTGGGTGGTATGGGCTCGTTCACAAGGCTTCCTGGATGTATGAAAATGCCAAGACAGCTGCGACAAGTGGAGAACGAGTGTACGAAAAGTGTCAGCAGCATCAAAAGAATTGCTGTGGGTGGCCACCTCGGAGTACGTACCCAACATCCACTGTCATGTATCCACTTCTGCTCTGAAGGACCTGCGCAATGCGCACATGGAGAAAAGCAAGGATTATATGTTCGAGGTATCTATCCCTCGCGGGCTTGTGCCAAGGGGGGTATTTTGGAGGTTGGTCAGGTCTCTCTTCAGTTTCCTTTCACACGACATTGTACCGCGCATAGAGGGTTGCCGGTGTCAAAAGTGGGGTGGATGCCAGCTCAATATTACAACCCGGTAAATTCCCATAGTGTGTGGCTGATTTACTTGCGATATTAGGGGCATCCACTGTGAAAAGCCGGTAAGATTGGCAAGTCGAAGGTTGAACGGCTCTTCAAACCATCTCAACAGGGCATCCAACTCGTGTTGACAGTTGTCAAGCCCGCATAATAAGACTACCGGCCCTTCTCACCCCCTGGCTCAAACTCCAAACTCCCACGCCGAAACCTGCCGGCTTTGACCTCCCCCGATTGATTCACTGTTGCAAGAGGGAATCTCCACTTCTCCATGCAACCGCAGTTGGCAACCGCTTTCGCAATGCTGGACTTGTCAGAAGCTGGGGATGTCCGGAGCCTTGGTCCAAGATAAAGCCAGCGTTTAAAACGCTTTCCCGAAGTCGGCTTCATCTCGAACTACCAACGAGGACACCTCGGTTGCTTTTTAAGACGGGAAACCCACTAGTTGGCAAAAAGTTATTCAGTCCCAACATCCTTTGGCAAAATGCACCAAAGCAACGAGGGGCCCGCGGCCGCGGCTCCCGGCTCTCCCCTCGGTTCTCCACCGGACATGAGGCCCCGGGCTTACCACATTTCTGGGCGACTCGAACAGCTTTTTGGCCACCTGAAGAACAGACCGCGGCGTGCGTGGATCGGGGTTGACTCCATTTCGGCCCTCCCGAAAGCAACACAACCACTCCGAGGTGACCAAAAATTCGAGAAAAGCCATAACAGTCGTGGCCAACCAGACAGTGGCTGAACGACACCGGCATAGATTGCTCCCACCCCTCCAAGTCAGCGAGCTTCTTCGTCCTTATGACCGTGGAAAGGCCCCCCCAGAAATGCAAACGCTGGAAGGTTTGTCAGACTTCTCGGACTTGGCCCGGAGTGTTGTATGCAAATGTGGGCCTACGCAGCCAACTCTTCGCGACTGACGAGCTAGCCTCCTGCCCACGAACAGAAGACAGGTGAGTCATAATCAAACCCCGGTATCAAAATGGTCAACCCAGAACCGTGTAAAGAATTGAGAAGGCGGGCGAAGCTATTTATGGTTGGGAGTATCCCTTACTAAAGTTCTTCTATCCCAACAAAGCGCATAATCCAGTTGGCGTTTTCTACAACAGGGGACCCTCCAAACGGTGGCATTCTTGTCGCCTCAAAACCAAGGCGCAGCCAGCACAGATGCTCCTTTGAAAAGCCCGCATATCCAAAAAGAGAACAAATGTGTCTTCCGTTGACGGGTGTTTGATTGAAAAGGGCATGGCCACAAATCAACGGTTGCCAAAACCAGGGTCCCGCCGATTCGTGTGGGGACAAACCGCAGAGTTGCGAGCTTCTGGACAATCCTCAACTCTCAACAAGAACCTAACAAAGTGCTAGTCTGACATGCCTATGGTACGTGTGACCAAAACCATGGCTGACATGGCCATGTGCCATGCCATTTGCCGACGTCTTTCGCAAACGTTGCCCCACCTCCATGCTAAGGGTGGACTTGCCAACAGCCGGAGGGCCGAAGACAAGTAGCGCCTCAGGCTGTCAGACAAAGAAAGGCACGGACCAGATGTGTGTTTCGTGAAAATTACCACATCGGGCCATCAACCAAACAGGACCTATGTTGGTTGATTCCAACTGGAACCCATCCCTCAGCAACCCCTATGGAGGTTGCTGTCGTTGAGCGACAGGCGATGATTTCAACGGAAAATTGTGGAGCGCTTGCTCTGAAACTGGGTCTTGCACTCGTCATGCTCTGTGCAAGTCATGTTCACTTCCCGAACCTTAGACCAGGCCAAAGCATGGCATCTTTGGGATGTCGTAATCTCATGTGTGTGTGTGTGTGTGTGTCCAATTTGGGCCCTCGGTTAGTGTCCCCTTGGCTATGATTGAAATACAAATTTCATGCCATATGGAGACATACTCATGTGTGCACACTTGTGGTATTTTGGTTTCCTTTTCCACTCCCATGAAAGCTGACAGGGGGTTCCCTTAAAAAGAAACTGGTCTTCCAGAACCCCAAAAACGTCAGGTTCCCTGTGAAAAAGGGTGGGAGGGGAAAGCAACCCGAAAAGAGTACCGATCAAAAACAACTCACCATACATCCCCCTGGTGTTTCAACAGGCATTGAGGTTGGGCAAGAGCTTGCCCAAGCTCAGCCTAAGTGGGTGGTTGTTGCCAAGCTAGCAAGTTAGTGCCTGTGTGTATTGCTGGTTTAAAATCATCAAGATATGTGTACGTATACACATATATATATGTGCAAGTGCATATATAGGTTGTTACCTAGGAGTCCCCACCTACAAGTCTGCGTTAAGCGTGCTAGTGGGTTTTCTGACCAATGTGGCCAACCACTTCCTAACTTGGCGATGACCATCCAATGTCTAGAACTTCACCTCCCCCCTAACTGCCACCCATTGGGTTTGATTGACTCCTTGTCAACTCAAAGACCACGCCAGCCGGCAAGCTACACGAAAGTCCCAAAAAACCACACCAGCCACAGTTGATTCTCTGAGCAAGTACCTTTCATGGGCCCAGTGCAACAAACGTCTTCGAAACTCCGCGACAAGTCTTGCCGCACATCCTCCCCAACCTGGAACCTCCCTAAAAAGTTCCAGACGATCTTCCTCGGAATCTCTGGTGGGGTAGCAGTTGGAACTCTATGGAACTCTAATATGCGAGAGGAAATTCACCTTACCCTTACTTCTAAGCCACACCACCCCATTCTGAAGAGCAAACCCAAAATGGATGCAACAACAATTGCCATCGAAGCAGTCCACCCAAGCAAGGCTAAAACTCAACTGTTCCCATTCTCTCCCTTTGCCGACTCCGAGCAGCCCACCAGGCCTCTCCCAAGCAGGGGCCGTCAGCCTTGCCCTTCTTATTTTGCCCACATCCATGTTATGAATCATTGCCAAGCCGACACTGACAAACATAAAGCCCGTGGCTTCACGGCAAGCATTGAAGCATCCTCCTGATGGCACCGCGGGCCCCTCATCAGCCAACCCACCAAAGTGGTGCCCGCGATCCAATTTTCCGCAAGCTTCCAATTCACTTCCTCATTCTTTCAATGGGGGCCCACGCAGCAGCCCACGCAGCAGTTGTCATCACTTTCGGGAGGAAAGACCGGAAATCCTAGAAAATTGGATGCTTGGAAAGAATGGGTTTTAACCGAAAATATGGCCTCATACAATACTTCCCCATTCTTTCTGGTTTTCCAATTTTCACCCAAAACAGATGCAAAAGCAAAAAACAAGTAACAGGGACACACTGATCTTTGATCGAAAGAACGATGCTGGGGGACAGAATGACGGAGTGGGGAAAGAAGGGAAATAATGATGGTTGTTGTGGGGAAAGAACGATGGTTGGGGAAAGAACGATGGCCCTGGGGAAAGAACGATGGTTGTAGGGAAAAAACAATGCCCCTGAAACAGAACGCTACCAGTAAGATCGATGGCCTGCAGCGGCATGACTTTGGCAGGTCAGGGGAAGGGGTTGTCTAGTCTATTGGCCCTACCCCCAGCCCGCGGGACAACTTTTTGCATGCGTCAGTGCTTGCTGCAGAAAAAACAAACTGAGCCGAAACCGGCTGGAAAGACCTATCGTTGCACTGAGTGCGCGTGTGACGAAAGAATGGGGAATCAACCCTTAGATTACTCAGTGGTTTGTGGATGTCTGGTTCTTGCAGAGGGTAAATGGGAAGCCACCCCTAAGCTCCAAACCACCAAGCAACGAGGGAAGCTGATTAAAAGGGTTGCCCTTTGGGGGAAACCAACCACATGAGAAAATCGGATGTTGCTTATTTTTGAAGAAACAACAAAACAAAATGAAACAAAAAAGACGGGTGTGTTTGTATTTTTTGTTCAATATATATATATATATATATACTCGGTTGCTTTCTGCTCCCCTGCTAAAAGTTTAACTTTCAGTGGTTTAATGGAAACCCCATTAGTTGGCAAAAAGTGTTAAGGTCCTAACAACCAAACAAAAAACGGGTTAACAAAACAAACAAAAAACTGTGTTTTTGTTGTTACTTTCTTGTCTAGTAAATATATATATATATATATAACAGCACACCACGGCGGACTTCGATCGCTCGCTGCCCTGCCTTGGGGCGAGAGGGGGCTGTCTTGCGCTCCGCGCTGTGCAGCCCAACCTGGCGGATGTAGCGAGAACCCGGCAGAGTCACATGAAGCCCGAAAGAAACCATCATACTTCATTGCAAGTCGGTTTTGGGACAACCGAAGGATTTTGCCACCGGCAAAGGGAACAAAGGAAAAGGCATCAAGTGACAAGCCAAGTCAAGCAAATGGGTGTGGCTCGAAATTAAACAGGAGGGGCAAACCGCAGGTTTTGGTTCATGTTTCCACTTACCAGGGCAACCCATTTTGGAATTCCGGCATATTGAGCCACAGCCGTATGTCTAACTACCCCCTAGCTGACTACCCCCCCTTGGGGGAATTTGGGTAGTTGGCTAGGGGGTATTAGACATACCATGAGTGTTCAAAGGGAACTCCATATAACATGGAAACCAAAAAATATTCAAAGGGAACGTCATAACAGGGAATCCAAAAGAAACATCATATTTAAAGGCAACTCCCTAACATGGATGTGCTTATATATTTAAAAGAAAAATAAGAGGAACACCATAGCATGGAAACCAACAAAAGGAACATATTTAAGGGAACTGCATAGCATGGAAACCAAAAACCAAAACATCATATTCAGCGGGAACTCCAGAACATGGAAAGAAACCTATCATCATAGTTTGAAGGACGCTCTATAACATGGAAACTAACAAAATCATATTTAAAGAACTCCATAGCATGGAAGCAAAAAAAGACAAAAACAACAACATCATAGTGTACTTAAAGGGATCTCCATAACATGAAACCCGGAAAAATACACATATTGGAAGGGATGTCCAGAACATGGAAACCAAAAAACCATCAACATCAAAGGGAACTGCATAACATGGAAGCAACAAATCATCATAGTTTGAAGGGAACTACATAACATGGAACCCCAAAAAAATATTTAAAGGGAACTCCATAGCATGGACACCTAAGAAAATGATATTTAAAGGGAACTCCATTACATGGAATCGAAAAGAAACATCAAGCTTCCAAAGGGAACTCCATCTTGTGGCTCCATGTTGATTTGCCGGAGAGGAAGGGGGAAGGCCCGTGCAGTAATTAGAATGGGGGTCTGGGTTTCTTTGGATGGACAAAGCCCAATTTGCAGCAGTAAGTGGTTTATCTTAATATTCACCGTAGGAAAGGTATGGGTGACTCTTCCTTCCTTATTCTGGTTTCGAGTGGCTTTGGGCTTGCCGAGATCTTTGTGAGGCTGCGTCTTGGGTTTGTTTGGGGTTCATTTAGGTTTGGCAAAGGGCTGACGACCAGGCTGTTGCTGGGTGTTGAGGGTTGATTTTGGGGCGGTTTGGGTTGGCTTGGAGCTGATTTGCGTTAGGTGTGCGGCTCGATTTTGCCGTGGCTTCAGGGTTGCCTTAGGGTGTGGTTATGTGAGATGGGCTAGTTTTGGTGGCTTGATGCCAGCCAACCAACCAACCAACCAACCAACCAACCAACCAACCACCTGACCGAGGTCAGCCCCATCCGGGGCCAAAAAAAAAACATCAGTTCCTGGGAATCACTGAATAACAAAAAAGCAAATCATGCTCCGATCAAGGAGTCCTTTAGTACTGCACATGTTTTCCAGAGGAGGCCCCGAGCAAATCACAACTGGGGGAGGTTGTCCATCGGGGGTGCCAGATTCCTTTCAACGAATCTCCCCAGACTTTTTCGGACACACAAGGAAGCTGACCGGGCCTTCCAAGAGGATACTAGTCTTCCAAAACCAACCCGTCCACTTCCATTGGAAAGATGCTACGGGGCCAAACAGGGGAAGCTAGGGAACTCGCATCACGTCCCAGAGCCTCAGACCCCGAGTGGCCGTGGCAAAAAATGGGTGCCATTGGCAGTTGACTTCGAAGGAGGTTCCAACACTTTGTCCTCCATTTGCTTAGGTCCCCTGGGAAAAAACAACATATGTCCAGTAGTGATAGATTCCCTTCAAAACCAACATGGGAAAATAACAAATATTGTTAATCAAATGGAAGCTATGGCAGAGAGCAACATCTTCCCCTCAAGTCGGCGGCCTCTCGGAAGATCTGTTGTCTCTGCTCTTCTGTGAAAGGCGTAGTCCTCGGCGGATGTGTTCGCAGGACAGAACTTGGGAGGTGGGGGGGGCGGGAGGAGGGAGCCCCTCCCCCTCCCCCTCCGATTCTTGCGTCCCGAGGCAACCCAAACATTGAACCCTCATGGGCCGGGTTGCAGTGGCCGGCGTTTTCTTGATGCCCGATTCGGGGACAGCAAGACGGGTCTCTGTGGGACCGGATCTTCTATCTGAAGAGGGCTGTGAAAGAAAGGCTCGGAGCTTTGAACTGCACTCGCCTGGATTCAGAGAAAGGTCGCAATCAATAAACAACCCAAAAAAAAAACGCAAATAGCTCGCCGAAGGCAAGCATCCTCTTTCTGAACCCTTCGAATGAGTCACACTCGAAGCCTCTGAATTCGCGCCTCTGAATTCCCAGCAGCTCTCACGTACCCGGATGTTAGCTGTCCCTACTCTCACGCATTCAGATGCAGAGTGCGAGTCCCTTCAAAGGATCCCTCGGGTTCCGCAGGTTGGATCCAAAGCAAATCCATTTGCCGAGGTGACTCAGTTTGAGCCACATCTCTCTGAGCCATGTTGGCCATGTTGGGCTGTTTGGTGATTGGTTCTGGCTCCACTTTTTGATTAGGTAGACTTAAACGCAGGGGTGGCTGATTTCTCCAAACGGAGGACCTCTGATTTTAAGTCAACTTCGGGGTAATCAAAAAGTGGAACCCTGCCGTGATTGGTTCTGGCAGCCATATCATGACCTTCATTGATCCCTCTTCCAGGCCAGAGGGGCAAATTCACGCCAGGAATCGCAGGGGGGTCCTTGAAAAAACCGACAAAAAGCAGAGGCCCAGCACCGGCCTTCAGGAAATCTGAACTTCCAACGGCCGTTCTGCGATTGATGTGATGGGTTGCCTCTGGTGCTCATTTCTCGTTGCGGCCATTCCTCCGTCGACCATGCAAAAGCAACCCTGGCCGCGAACATGCCGCCAAAGCTCATCCAACATCAAGTCAACAGCTTTCTGTGCAGAGGCCCGCGGATTTTGTTTGCAAGTCGCCCCCAGAAAAAGAAGAAAAAAAAAGAGTCGAGTATCACATCCGCATGGGTGTTGTGGACCGGCCTCTTCAAGCGGACTCCGACTACCTCTTCGCTGATACAGAGCTTTCCAACACCAGAGATCCTGAGGTGTAAGATGCACAAGTCAACAAATCAACCAAATCGAGGACCTCTAACCTTCCCCAAGCACTAAAAGTCACTAAAATCTAGTGGCTGAGCTTCAGAAACCCAGCCACCAAACCGACCAAAAACACCCACCAAAAGCTAAGTTGAACCGCATGGCCACCATGTTTTTGCCCCCTGACGAACCAACTCCGCGGCTCCCGTGTTAAGCCCACTGAGCCACAGCCACTCTCCGAGGCACAGTTGAGCCTCCAGCTCCTCGGGGATCTGATTGTAAACCACACCTCGGGGTCCAGCCGATTCGCATTCCCGCGGAGGAGTCTCACGTCCCAGCGAGGAAGGAGAGGCCCTTCCCCAAAAAGCTTGGTATCTTCGGGCTCGGGTTCGGGTTCGGGTACCTAATGATGTTCCACTGAAAGGGTCGAAACCCAAAAAGATTTGAAGCAGTCTGAAAAGATTCAACACACGGTTCGAGTCAATCTCAAAGCCTGGTGGGTTTAGCTTGGGTCGTTGGGCTTGGGCTTGGGGTGTGCCAATTGGGGGGTTCGCTTCACGGTTGGGCAGATTTGAGTTATCAAAACCCGTCGGTATCAAAAATGGGCAGGCGCCCAATTTGTTGAGGGCACCCGTTTCTTGTGGGTTTCAAAGGGAACCCCTCTTGCTCCATGTTAGGGGGTCCGACCCAAAAAAGACGCATGGGAAACTTCGGGCGTGTCCTCAGGCGTTGGAATTTGAGTCCCGAGCCCCAAACTCACCTGCTCACAGGCCCAAAGAAGCAGACTGGGTTCCAAGACGGTCAACCTGTTCAGACAGAATGCCAACTCAGCATCCGAGGGAAATCCAGGAAACTAAAAAAAAACTATGGCAAGCGCCATCTCAAACAGACTCTCGAAGGTTCCGAGAGAGAAAAGAAAAAGAAAAAAACGTCGGAAATTGGAGCCAAGGTCGCAAAAGGCCCCTTCTGCTTCCTCCGGAAGAGAAAAGCCCTTTGGAAGCGCAGGGGGTTACCCACCGTCTCCTTATTCAAAGAGTCAAAATCAAAGTATGCGGCTAAAGGAGTCTGCCCAAGAACAAGTACAGAATTAAGAGGGGCTTGTTTTGTCCAAGTCAAATGGTTGGGACTATCCTCTTAAGCTTCACATACCCGGGTTTGCATGGCTCCCATTCGCTTTCTGGACTTGGCTGCATGGTTTGCTTCCGCCAAGCCACGGAAGAGCTGATCTGGCCAACCATTTCGGCCCTTCACGATTATGGTGTCATCAGCCTCCCGGACGGGCGCACGAATTTCCGGGGAAGAAAGATGCGGTCCTCAGATCCCCTGCGAAAAGTGACTAACCTTTAGTGAGCTAACTTCGCAAACCTCCCACTAAAAAACTCACCAAACACCCAGTGGGAACCGGGCTGGCTGCCTGAGCCGCCAAGACAGCAACCAGATCGATCCCCGAGTTGGTGACCTCCAGGGAGCTCTGAAGCTGACCTCACCGACCTCTCGGACTTCGAGTATTCGCAGGGATTCGAAAGAGCCACCATCCACCCAAGTAGCACCCCCCCCCCCCAAGCTGCCGCAAGGGGCACTTCGAGGTGGAGTCCGCAATC